GATATATTCAGATTCTTTTTTCCCTATGAATCGACCATACGTTTAAGTCAACGAATAAATTCACTTCAAATCATTAGTAAAACAAATAACAACAACTATGAAATAAATTATACGAAACAATCAGACAGAAAAGGTGAGAAATTCAAAATAAAATCAACGAGATCAGCAGTGATAATAGGAGTTACACAGTCCAAAAAATAAAAACGTTATCATAGACGCATCCATCCATATTGGCTGACTGCTAACATTTATAAAACGCTTTCATTCTCAGAAGGCACTTCGGAAAAACGAGAACGAAATGAATGCCGCTTAATGATGTTGCATTCTCACTTAGCCTAATGGTGGGTTAGAGTATGAGTTGGATTGCATCTAATTATCTGATCAAATCTTGTCACTTCCAAGCTTTACTGAAACATTCAATAAGCTTTTTTCCGTGACACTGTATTATGAGCTATTCAAGACTTTCAGTGATGGAAATTAATAAGGAAATCAAAAATATTCATCGAAACCAGCAAATGTGATAGTTTCACACTTTATTCTCATCCACTGCAATTAACTGTTGTCTTCATGTATCCTGAGAATTGAATTGCGTCTTATCAATGCTAATTGTAACTCATAAGAACTCTTCATTCATTGCGAGAATATGCAAACATCTTAATCAAATACGAATCCCGATTGCCCGTCACTTCAGCTGTCCTTTATACTCTTGCATTATGCGATACCGCAAAACCGAGATATGAATTTAGCAGCGATTCGCTTACCGTGACAACAAACGGTTTGTTGCGATCGGTCTTTATTCCTAGCACCTGAAACGAAATCAGTGAATCTGTCTCACTTCACATGAAAAACAAACAATTTCTGCTTTAACAGTCTCAAAACGAATTCTCAACGACGCATTAATTCGGCAAAACTAAGTGACCATTTTTAATATGCACATAACTTCAAATGAATCAATACTCAAAAAATTCCATACAAAATAAAACATAGTCGAGAAGCACGCATATCAAATTACAAGAAAGCGTACACATATTAGTACATTTCGTTAAACACTGTTCATTTGCAATAGAGTTCGTGTGGAAGAATCAATGCAAATATGAAAGTTTGAAATGAAGTGAAAAAAACTAACAAAATGTCTTTTCAGAGCATGGGAATGAACATGTTGTCCAGCCAACGGTATATCGCAAACAGCACATCTCGATGACGAACTCAACCAATGCGTTTGTTGATAGTGACTTATGAATTGCTCTTTCTGAATTTAAAAAACAACCTCTTAACTATTACTTCCTAATGGGAACATTTTGAACATGAACCAAAGTATCAGCACAGTCTTCCATGCGACGGAATGAATCAAATAATGAAGAATTCTCGAAGACAACAGTTGGAATAACAAAAAAAGCGATGAGGACTAATACCTTCACTTCGTTCGGGAAACAAAGACCGCATTCTCGACACATAGCCCACAATGAGAATGCATGAATGTAAGCATGTTCCAGTGGAGGGTATAACTGTGATATTGGCACCGACCAATAACCACTTGACGTTCCGCATAGCACACAACAAATCCTGAATGAAAAAATATTCAGTGTACATACTATCCAATTCAGAAAATAACATCGAAACTCTTTCGGAAAACTGACTCACAATCAGTTGGAGCAATTAAATGACCTTCACAGTTAAGTTAACGCAATTGAAAATGCATTGATATATTAGAAACAATAAGGAATCATTTAAAGCAACCGATAAATATCAGGTAAAACATACGATGATTTGGATTTTGCGTGCTCTTTTTCGTGCAAAAATCTTGCATCTTCATTCGCGAACGCCATATCGCATCTGCTTGAAAATTAAACGAGTAAATCAATACGAAAAAACATTAAAAATTGATCGAGCAATCATTCAAAACAATGTTAAATTGAGTCTAGAAATGATCAGCCTCCGATAGCAGGTGGCGGTATATTGCAAGAGGACGATCTAATGCTGCCAATCTTTACCGGAACTAGTAATCGAGACAATTCCACCGCTAGAATTGATTCTTCAAAAATGAATGAATAATCATACAGAACCGAATCCCAAAAAAAATTTTTAATGATGCCGAATGACTGCAGCGTTGAAATCGATTAAACTGACTGAATCAACAGAATATGAATCGACAATATTAAACTCACAATCGATTCGACTGCATAGGGAATTTCAGCTCACGGCCGACATGCTCTTTAAGGTGCGTTTTGAAAGCACTCGCCGTGTGAAATACCGGCATTTTGGCGCACCACAGACACCGCAATTTCACCTCCGGCACTAAAACTGTCCATTGTCACTGATTTTATGATTATCAACGTGTGTTTAGGATCATTTTTTGCTTCGAATAATAACTTATAATACCTTTTTTGTTACATTAATGCAAACAACGGCTGGACG